CCTCTTTAGACTTCGGATTCTTCACCAACACTCGAACCTTTCCACACGCCAAAGATTGTAAAGTTCTAGCTGCCGTTTTCTCATCTTTTTTTGTCATCGCCAGCACATACATATATTTAGGAAAGAAGCAAAGTTTAAGAGAATGTGATGGAAACCCCCTTTTTCGAAGCAAAACATATCAAGATAAAGCACTTACCGATTCCAGTTCTTTGGACAATAGATTGAAAGTCAATCGAGAGATTATCTGTGTCGACATTGAACAGCAAGAGCACGAGGGCCTGAATAGTCGAGACGGTGAGTTCCTTACGGGTCGTAGCGGCATGAACAAAAGACGCGGGGGGTCGAGAATTGGTCATGTTATTATTATTCTTAGGAAACGAGGCGATCAGGACGACCTGGCCCAAGGAGTGGGCCCAAGTCAATCGTCTGCCGAGGTATTTAGAACCATAGAACTTTTCGAACCGGCTTAAATGAGTTTGTAGGTGAGTGGGTAGGAGGGCTTTCGGCTCGCTCGCTTGACTCATTGGCCAGCTTCCTGACGTCAATACCGTCACCGTTAACTCTACCCTGTCTCCTTCTTCCTCTTCTTCTTCCATTCGTTCTTCCCCTCCAGCTTCCCTCGCCAACACGCTCTCATACGCTATATTCAAATCATTCGACGTCTCTAAATCCCGGAACATTGTCTCTAACTTCGCCGTAAACCCTGGTCCACATTCTTTTTTTGTTTGTTTATTATTCAAGATGAAAAATGAGTTCCTAGAAACACGTTCAATCTGTTATTCTTTTTTGGTCAAACATACCTTTTTTCAACTTCATCACCATGTTCCTTTCCAAATCGATAGAGCTAGATCTGGATAACAAGAGACGTTTAGCAAGATCGCGTTTATAGAATTCCTCGAAGATATCTTTAGCCTGAGAGTAACGAAAGAGGACGAGGACATGCTCGAGACAGGTGTCGATTTCCGCCTCATTCATCGAGCGAGACGCCGTACGCATCTTAAGGTCGAGATATTTCGCGATCAGTTCAGCGGGTTTATTACAACGTTGATTGATGAAGGTCTCGAAGGCCTCCTTGATCGCAAAGAACATCTCCCGGTCCTCAGCAAAACAACCCACGACGATCCCGTCCAACTTGGTCTTAAATTCGATCAGTCGTTCGACCATTCCTGCATCGCGTTTGGCTTCTTCCTCCTCTCCTCCATTGGCCTTCTCGACCATCCTGGCCCCCGTTGCCTTGATCCAAACGGAGAAACTCTTCCGGAGTCGTCGCACCGGTGGCTCGCCAAGTCTGGTCAATAGCTTATAGAATGTCAACAAGGAAGTGGCCGCAATCGGGTCGGGGAAGCTTTCCAAGAGTCGGACGAGTCCGTGAGTGAGTAATGTTTCAAGATGGACGAGAATCAAGTTAGACTCGACGAGCCGGAGTATGCTGTTGAGGAGCTGTGCATTCAGGGCTCGATCGGGGGTCGTGAAGATCTTGTTGAAGAGCTCGACCTCCGACTCGAGTCGGTTCTTGATGTGACTCAAGTATCCCGCCGGTCCTCCGACGCTCAAGACATTCGACTCCACATCTTGGATCAGTCTCATGCCTTCCTGAGTGTAGAAGGATTCGGTGGCTTTTTGCAAGGACGTGCTGATTAGATTGGTAAATCCTGTCGCCCCAAAGGCCGTGAATACCAGCTGAGTTAACGACTGAAGAAGCCCAACTGGAATCGTTTGGCCCGATCGCTCAAGGGTGACCTGCTGACAAATCACGACCGATAATGAAAGCGAGATAGGATTCCATGGTCGTCCAATCACGTTTTTACGAAATAAATCTAATCCAAGTTCCCTAAGAAAAGTCCGAAGAAAGATGGAAAGAACAAATGAACACTTGAGTCAAATGAAAAGATCAGTTTGTTTTTAATTTGAACAAGAAGAAGAAAAGAACACTACAATCAGGCCTGTCTAACCACATACTGCTTGGTGAACAGAATTTGCTATATAGTTTGGGGGGTTATGCAGTTTCAAATTTTATAAACAATCAAAGGAGGCGGTTTTTTGTATGCCAGTGGGCAGGCTATGCCCTTAGAGGGAGTGCCTTTGCAGAAAAATCAATAATTTGGGCTATGCTTTTGGACAGCTTCTACAGCCAGAGACAGGTTTTGCTGAATAGACAAAAATGAAATTTTGGTGCCCAAATCTTGTGGAATAGGTGAGGTTATAGCGTTATAGAAGGACGTGTTTAGACAGATTTGACGGTAAAACGAAGTATGAAAACTGACCAGATAGGAAGCATTTCATGAGATCGAGCGAGAATGAAACGATCGAGATGGACTAGCATGCTACGAATGAGGCGCAATTGATGATACCAATCGTGCCAAACAGCGTGAGTTTTTTCCAACCAAGCGTGACAAGGAGGTTGATCGAAGGAAGCAATAGCCTTGATGATATCCACCGAATTAGAGGAGAGCAAGGCGTCCATGACTGGGTGGGTGGGCATGCCTTCCAAGAGGTAAGCTCTGATCTCTAGCGTCTTGTTCTCTAATTGATCCTTGACTTGCTTGTACAGACTTTCACACCATCGAGGTCCAGCTAGTACGAGTCCTGTTCGTGAGATATGACGGGTCAGTGCTTTTTTTTTTTTCTTTCTTCTTATAATCATTTTGTTTTTGTTTTTTGCTTGCTTGCTGATCGCTAGGGCTAACCTTGACAGGCTTCTGATAGTGTCGTGAGACTCGTCTCAGTAGGTTTTGGTGGGACATGGAGGATATCATCGAGCGCATGACGTAAGTTGGAGAGTGAGTTTTGATAGAATCCATCCAATGGGGCACCACAAGTGTCCTGTGCTGTGATGCAAATATGATATATATATTTTTTTTTTTCAGCAGGTGGATAGGTTTGTATAGGATGATGATGACTAACGTCTCTTCTTTAAATTTCTGATCGAGATTTTACTGATTTCGAAGATTGAGTTGATTTGGGGTAACAAGGGTTGGATGGGTTGAGGGCCAGTTGATGAGAGTCCGAGGACGAAAGCAGTGGGTAGTTCTGTCTTGATCGGATTGAATGAGTTTGATAGGGTAGTCAATGGTGGTTCTTCTACTTCGATTGGGCTGGGTGGTTGATGATGAATCCGGTTCCTCTTGGAGGCAGTTGCAGCTCGGAATGTCTGTAGTGATGCTTGTGGGTTATCCTGTGGGTTAGTGCGCTGGTTGTTTGGGTTGCTTCTGTTGTTGTTGTTGGTGTTTGTAGTTTCATGGTGTTGACCGAATGATGGTCTTGATTCTGGGTTGGTTCGCTTCATCTTGTTGGTGGTGGTCGGCTGTGGTCGAAGTTGATCGACCGAACTGCTTCCCCCCCTTTTTTCAAGCGATGTTCGATCTCCACCGGGGATCCCCCGAAGGATATCCTGTGACACCTCTCATGACTTCAGCGGATGGGCCACCTGTCACACACTTCCAGACTCAGAGCAATTCCATCTCTTTCATCTTTCTTGCTGATGAGGATCCAATGTGATCGGAGACACAAAATTCAATTCTTGCCTTCTCTCAGCAATTTGGTGTGTGTGTCTTGGCCACATCATCATGCCAATGTATGAATATTCACAGCAGCCAGCTCTACATGTTCCTTTACAGGTTTGGAGGAGTGGAGATGGGGAAGGCTATAAATCTTATTAATTCACTTTGGATTTCTGGACAAAGTTCACAGGCTGAAACAAGTCCCCACTACCAGCAGTTACAGTTATCTTGAGCTAATTTTACTTGTCTGATAAATCTATGCTGGGTAATGGTGTTTATCAAGCTAAATTTCCATTCCATTTCTGATTCTGAAAACTTCTTCCAATCTGAAAGCTCAACTATCCTCTGTGGTTCTGGAATCTGTTTTTATTATAATATTTTCACCAGCCTTTGTTTTTTTTCTCTATGTTTGGTTACCCAGGAATTTACCACCAAGGGCTTCTGGCTCTATGCTTCTTAAAAGCAACTCAAGGGCTTCAAGAATTCCCTAGTAAGGGGAAAGAAGGTAGCAGAATCTCATTCTTTTATGCTGATATAATTCAGTGAGAAGGTGGACTGACTGTGTCTTTGTGTTTTATATTTTGCAACAATTCTAATCAGTTCTTCCTGAAATCAAAACAAGTGAAAATGGTGTGAATATGGGTCATTTCACTTCATGGTGTCCCTCTAGTTCCATGGAAGTTGAAAATCAGAAACCTCCCTTATGCCATGAACCCATTCCAATGACAAGAGAGGGTAACATAGCACATAAAACTTTGTTGGAGATAGGTAGGCAAAATGAACTGCACAAAATCTAAAATAGACAAGGAAACTAACTATTGCAAAATGTCATAAGAAACACTGAAGATTACAGAAGTATCAAAAGAGTCAAAGAAAGGTAATAATTTTGTTTGCATTAATTATTTGATTCTTTCAAAATATATGTACTGAGATTGAAAATATCCACTGGGAAGGTCTATCATTAATTCAAGAAATGGATGATGAGTTGTGGTCATTGAAGGACAAGATTGAACGTATTGAAAGAAATCTTTATGGAAATCAAAGACAACAAAATATTGGAAAACACACATTTAATTGGGATTTTGAAGGATTGAAGTCTATTGACAAACTACTTTCAAATCAATTGAAAGTCCAAAGAATCAAATTAGGTCAAGAAAAATCAATAGTGTTGCGGATTCCAGTCGAAAATTTGGGTGAAAATCCTTTTTCCATGTATTCAAAGACAGAAGACTTTGAGAATGATTTGATGAGACTCAACCTGGATTTGGTTATGATTCTCAGCAACATATTGCACAAGATTTGTCCATTCAAGATTGAGGAATCAGTCAATCACCACATTGAAACCAGCAAAATGGGCCCTTTTTACTTGGAAAAGCTTGTTTTCTCAATGGTGGGTTACATGCACAAATACCATCTCATCTCACTTGAAGAATACAGACTTTTCTTCCAAACAAAAGATACATTAGAGATTGCAGTCCTCAACATCTTCTTTGGTCCTGTTATAACACACGGGAATAAACATTGGACTTTGTATCCTAGCGACTACATTTTCTCAATAATTCAGTACACTTTGGGATTTGAACCTTACAGAAATATTTACAAAGGTGAGGTCTTTGATCCACCAAATACATAGCTTCCCATGTTGAATCCAATCATTTACTAATTTTTGCAATTATTGCTTTGCTTCTCTTTTGATTCAAGCTCTTGATGCAAAAGGAAGGACCAAAATGACTTTCTTCTTCCTCCAATTAAGTGGAATACATCACCACAAATTACACCCAAAGATCCATATGAGAGAAATTGAAGATGAATTCTCAGAGTTGAATGATCAAATCTTCAAAGGTAGTAAATTTTTCAACACCTTAGAAAAATACACCAAGATCATGGAATCACCAGAGAAACATGTTCAGGAATATCATGAACTCATGGAAATCAAGAAAGTACTCCAAAGAGTATGCAAGCTTTTCACAAGAATTGGTGATGGTCCAAGGTTTGAAAAAATCAACTTTCACTTCAGGTTTCTGTTTTTAATAATAGATTTTGTTGTAAGGAACTATGGAAAAGAAGTGCTTGATGAATACAGAGTTGGAAGCGAATTCCAAGTGAGGTTTGATCTGATGTATTGCAGTCTTGATATGATGGCAAAATTAAATGAGGTTAATGAGCTGGCATCTTCATTGAAAAAAGAACGACTAACTAATCCTGAAAGAGTGGGTTTATTGTTGGAGGAGATCAATAGAATTTCAAATCAATATCAAACCATATCTGATTTCCTCTCACAATCTCATCAAAACTTAGATAAATATTGCTTGATTGACTTCATAAGCTATAGAATTTTAGAGGTTAAACTCAATTTAAGAAATCTATGAGCATGAAATTATGAAGTTTTATATGAAGGGTAAAACCATTTGTCCTTGAAAACAAACATATCATCCTTCAATTTTGAGTCAATTAATCTGTAACTGTTCATTGGGATGATCTAGCAAAATGTCTACATTCCAAAAATTTCTGAAAAGTTGTCTATGGAATTCAGTGCAAGGCATCTGAAATATTATTTTGATAGCTGATACCCAACCATGTATTCTTGCAAAACCATGCCACTGTTACTTTCAATCAGCAATCTGTCTCATTGGGCCATTGCTCTGTTTCAAAACTAACTACGTGCCAATTGTTATCAATGTATTGTTTGCAGTTTGAGTTTTCCTCATATGCCTAGATAAATATTCTTTTAACAAAAGCTACTATGATTGCCAGAAAATTGATGGGAGGGAGCTCTCAAATTTCTCAGGAAATGAGAACAGGTAGGTGTTGAAAGGACAATTTCATCGATTTACAAAGTGAATTTGATAATTTAAAATTGGAGTGGTGATTAAGCTGACGGGCCAAGAAAAGTAAGGGTAGCCTCCATAGCCTCTTTATAACTCAACCCAGACTTGAGCAACTCTTGCAACATCTTAGCCTTCTCGAAGCCCTGCGACTTGATCCGCAGTCTCTCGGCCTCATCGGCGGCGTTCTTGAGTTCGAATTCGCGAATCTTGAGCTTGAGCTGTTTATCGGAGCGTTCCACATGAGGATGCTGGGCCATCTTCGAGTCCGGAGTGTTTTCCTTGTTAATATGCAGGATTGAAGCCATGCCGGATCCGGCTTCAGAGTTGGGCCGTACGAGTCGATTCATCTGCATCAGTGTCTTGTCCACCGTCCGATTACAATCCTTTTCCGGTCTGTAGGGACGACTTTGATCTGGTTGGTTAGCGCAAGATGTCTCTTTTCGCGGCCGGCCTCGTCCCCATTTAGGAATAGCCAGTATGTTGTTGGTGTCGCAATCACATTTGTTCCCTGATTCCAAGCGCAGCTGTTGACATTGTTCGCTGGCGCAAGAGTTTTCTTTGCGCGGACGACCTCGTCCCCGTTTTGGCTCGATGGCAATTGGCTCCGTAGAACTCCGGTCGAACCACTCTCTTCTGGGGTTGGTGTGTTTTTCCTGAATGGTGATTGGTCTCTCACTCGATGGGCATTTTAATTTCTCTGGAACCCTGCTTCCCTCATCAGATGAAATGGGCAGAATGGCAGGCTCAGTTTGACTAGGTTTGTCGGTCGAGATTGCTGGAGCTTGGTCCAAGAAAACTATATCATCGGAAGATACCGTCGCTTCGCTTTTCCTGCGCTTTGGGGGAACCGGGACAAATGCTGGAGGTCGATCGTGCACGACTGATGATGATTTTATAAGTTCTGGGCAGGGACGGGATGGTACCTTCCCTTGGGTCTTGTCTTGCTTTTTCTTCTTCTTTTTCTTCAACGGCGTGATCTGCCTTTCCTGTGGCGCAAAGTCCGAGCCTTTCAGACCACCACCCGGCCGTTGTCGATACTCTACATTTTCACCCCGCTTCCTCCGACAAGGCGCACAAGGACAGATGCCCCTACATTTCACACACAGCATCTTCCCGCCTGGGACGAACTGGAATATTGGAGGGCGGAGCTCGGGGATGTTGTGGTATACTGGCCGATTGACCAAACAGTTGCGACAAACGCGGATGAAGCAGTTAGGATTTTGTGATTGATCGCAGATCATCTTAGGTCGGGTGGTCTTGATCCGACATTGGTGGCAGCTAAAGGACTCGTATTGTCCAGTTTCATCGGGTTCGGTGGCTGGTGGTGGGCCTAGGATTTTCGGATGCTTGACCTTCGAGACTCGTTCGCAATTCCCAGATGATCGAGGTGCTGGGCTGCTGGGTAAACTGGAGAGATCGGAGGATAAGGAAAGCTCTGGATGTGGTGAGTTGAGGCCTTCCTTGCTTTGCGTCGATGCTGCCGTAAGCTCGATGTTCGTCGCGCTCTTATGAGATGGCAGGACATCGTTCCTGCCGGTCGAGCTACTGGGTCTGCTCGAGCAAACTGGCGAGGCTGGGATGCTGGGAGAGGCTGGACGTGGCAAACGTGACTTGGGCGACGCGACGGCGGCCATGAAGGAACTTTGGGCGGGTCGGAAGAATTCTTCACCGCCAGACCAAGATATGTTACGCAAGATTGCCTCGCCCGTTGTTCAAGCTAAAGAAAGGCAGGACAACACAAAAGAAAAAAAAAAAAATCAGGTCGCGAGCGGAGTCGCCAGCAGATGCAGCAATCAAACTATCATAACACTTACTATTGCTGCCCGCTCGTTGGTGTCAGCAAATCGCTTATCCATGGCGACAGCACTGGTGATTTGACTATCTTGATTTTTACTTGAGGACTGCTCGAGAATGTTTAGAAAATTATTTGCGAGAGGGTTCGAGATCGGCCGAATATTACTCAGGGTCGCCTTGGGAGCTCCAGCAGAGGCGACAGGAGCAGGCGTGTTTGGGGGAGAATCTTGCTCATCGGAGAGCAGAGTGTATGGCGCAAGCGCTTCATCGCCTGAACTGTCGGCTGCTTCTAAGCCGGCTTGATCAGAGGGAAAGATGAATCGATTGTGGTTCAGGTTAGAAGAGGGCCTAGGCTGCATGGCGACAAGAGGATCCGATAGAACAATGGTCTTTTCGTCCGTTCCTGGGTCTTTGAATCCGGAGCATGTGAAGGCAGGTGAGACAAGCCTTGTCAAACTACGGATAGCCAACGGTGGCTGACTTACGAATGCCAAGAAGACACTCACTCCCAGTTAGATATGGTCTTGCTCCAGCTTGACGGAATGGCAATGACTATAAGACCACAGTGACTAGAAGAAAAAGAGAGGAAAATTACTCGACCGGCTCAACGATGATCCGGTTGAAGGCATCAAGTACAAATAGACAATCAAGTAAATATATGATGTCTGGCTCAGTAGCTGGCTTGTGCCTCAACACAAGTGGGCTCAAGTGGGGCCATGACTTGCAAGTACAACCTGAAGAGATCGGAAGAGAACCAAGCCCCACGATTTGGCTATTCCTTAAGCTTTACCTGTGGCGTTTCTTCATTCTGCCGCGTTCTTACTGCATAGATCGGGTCTTCCATTTTGTTTTGTATACATAGATAGGTTTCTTTGACTTTCTATCGCCGAGTTTATGAACCATAGCAGGTCAGTGCTCCTGGTGAACATTCTTTGACGGATATGGATACATTTTTGTAATTATGTACAAGGTCTTGCTTCCAGGTTCATCCCGATGGCGGCGATCACAAGTCAGATCATGAGCCGTATCAGAAAGCATGCCACAACATTAACTTACAATTGTTGTGAGAGGGAGCAAAGCAATCATATGTAGACAAAATCAATGCACATGCACAAAGAATTTCGGCGCGGTCCAAGTTTTGTTCATTTGCAAATACAGATCAAGGCGAACTTCATATTGTTGCTAGGGATCTCGACAAGAAATTCAACATTGTTATAGCAAGCTGCAAGCTTGGAAGAAGAAGAAGAAAAAAAGGATGATACACTGTTGTTCCGAAGCAGATTTAATTGACTTAAGCAATCAACGGCGAGCTGGAGATTGAGTGGGCAAGCAGAGACATTCGTTAGTAGCCCTCAAGGCGTCTTCAAGGTTCAACCCACAGCGCAAGAACTGCTGGATCATCTTAGCCTTAGTGAAAGCGTCAGCGGTTGCATTGTTCCGCTCGAGTTCTTCGCGCGCCCTCCGGAGTTCGAGCTCGCGGATCTGGGAATCCAGCTGTCTTTCGAGCCGGTCCTGGCGGACATCCTCGGGATCCTTCGAGCGGAACCCGGGCTTCTCCTTTTTCGGTGCTGGGATCGTCGGCCCATCGACCGGGATACAACAATCACTCTCCTCATCGGTGAACTGCTTGGCACAGAACTTTCGCTTCCGCGAGCATCCCGCTATCCAGACCGGATCCGGCGACTTTCTGAGCCCACAAGACGCTCTGGATCCGATGCGATTGGATCGAGCGTGTGATTGTCCTGTAGTCTTGCCATTCTTACCGGATATGATCGTTCGATTAGATTTGCCAACAAGTTCATCCCAAGATTCTTCCAAGCAAACTACTTCAGCTCCCTTTTGCTCATTCTTGCACTTGTCGACGATTGGGTGGCCGGGTGACTGCTTAGGTTTCGCTTGTTCTCTTTCTTTCCTTTTCGTTTTCCTTAGCGGTGCTTCGGTCTTTGGCTCGTCGCGCATTAAGTCGTAAAACCCATTCAACCCATTACCCATCACCCCTCTCTCGCCTCGGGCCCTCCGACAGGAAGCGCAAGGACAGATATTCCTGCACTTCATGCAGAGGATTTTGCCGCCAGGGACGAATTTGAAGAGCGGCCCTCGAAGCTTAGGCATCTCGTCGTAAGCCTTTCGATCCATCAGACACGGGCGACAAATTCGAACGAGGCAATTGGGATTCAAGGATTGATCGCAGATCATCTTTGGTCGAGTAGTCTTGGTACGGCATTGATGGCAGGTTGAGGATTCGTATTGTCCCGTGGCATCGGGTGCGGTGGCGGGTGAAGGTACAGGTCGCTTAGCTTGGCTTTTGCTTTTGCAGCTCCCATGAGTTGGAGGGGCTGTAGTGCTTGGTATAGCAGTGAATGTTGCGCGTTGATGGGTGTGAAGGGATGATTTGGCGCCAGAAGTGGTTCGCAAAGATTCCGTAGTCTGCACACCCGTTCGGCCGTGGTCACCACCGAACGTAAATGATGCATTGGCGGGCGTGGGTCCACGTGCCGATGACCGTTCGCCGACAGACCTTGGTGATCCGTTGGGATGATTCATGTCAAGCGCTTCTCGCTTGATCTACCAATCCGAGAAGAGGAGAAAAATATCGAGGAAAAGAAATGTCGTTAGTGTTCAAAAGTCTGTGATCCTCCAACCAGGGCATTGCTTACGGCTACGGCTCGCCTGTTGCCGTTGGTAAAATGCCTTGGCTGAAGATAAGCGGAACGAGTGAGTTGTCAATTGAAAGCGATCATCGCGTTTGATGCAGCGAACAACGAACAGAAAAAGGACTCACCCCGACCCTCATCTCGATGATATCATCGTCTCCAAAGACTGTCATCTCAATATTGGTTCTACTGTCCCTCTTGGAACTCGGAGAATCTTCGATCTCCTCATCAGAATCCAGCACAAACTGCCTTAGGACTTCATCGCCCATGGATGGTAGAACACCGGGAGAGAGCAGGGATTGCATACCGATAGCCCAGGCTGATTAAACGCCTCCTTCGTCTCGATTCTTTTCAAGTCTAATCGTCTCCAGTTCGCTCGAAAGAGGTCAGGAACGTGCTGAATATGTAGGGATTGTGTAGAGGAACTCGACGAAAGCAACCCGCAGACGGTAGGATATCGCTCTCGGTCCGGCGACCCATTGACAAACAAAGTACTTAAGTTATCGGCTCAGTTTCTAGCAGTCTACACAGACGATTTACAAAATTGATGCGCCAAACTCTCCGTCGCACTTGTGTCTTTTCTGGAGCTGGCTTGAGCTGAGTTGAGCTTGCTCAGTTTATGAAGTTGAATCGGTCCCTCAGCATTTGTTT